TGGCGTAAAAGGTACATTTGGACAGGAACCGAGGAAAATGAGTCAACCAGAAAGATGAATAACCGATCCACATTACCATGAGGGAGATCCGAAAAGTAGGCCTGAGTCGGATTAGCTGATCAAAGGAGAGGGGTTCAGGGTGAATGGCAGGTGTGATGAGGCCACACTAGATTTGCCACAAAAGAGCACACATTTAGACGAGTGGAATGTAAACAAGTGAGAGGTTGTGATAGGGAGTCAGTGGGATTAGAGGGTAAAGAGTCGATAGATAGGCCAGGACAGAAAGAGGAGTGATAGTGTAATCGTTTTCGGCAGAATGTTAGTCGATGAATTGACTTCACTTGTCTCTTTGACGAGTTCGTAGCTTGGTGCGGCGAATGGCAAACTCACTGATGATCCGACTACCATGCCAGCGAAATGTACAATTTTGATTAAAATTATTTGAAAATAAACTATGTAAATGCGTCTAAGAAGCCTATTTTAAAGATAAATGTTTTCGGGTTTAGCTGTGTTGCGATCTGATCAAACTAATTGGCGGTTGACCGTAATTGCCTCACCTGATCCAGCCATCGTGTCCAAGTCATTCCGAAATCGGTCCACCGAGCTCCAGACCTCATCGCGAATCAAGGATCTCGGAGGCGGTGCAAAAGGAAAGTGAGCATCGCTTAGTGAGACTGTTGGCAACGAGCGCGGCGAGATGGAAGGTTCTGCTGTTGAGACTTGGTTGGGCATTTCACTAAACGTCGTTGGATTTACCTTCCCTTCGGACTCAACCACTGGCGCCTATTAGGAATGATGATAAGCATAAATATGTGTCAGCATGTTTATGCAGGCATGCATGTATGTGTTTTTATCATTTATTATTCATTTGTATGTGTGGGCTCATGGATGAGCGTGCATGTGCATTGGGAGTAAAAAACAAAAATGTGAATATAAGGACAGAGAAGCCAAAGTACAGTAATATATCAGTATATCTGAATTAGGATCTACCATAATAATTCAGGGTCGCAACACATTAAGAATATTGAAGTATGCTGTTATGTTTTATTCAGAATAAAGTGGCATGCTATTTATTGCACTTTGTCAAGACAGTATTTACAAGTGCTTACCAAAGAACAAGAATAGCATCAATGTGACGATTATGGTGATTATATTAAAGCTTATTTCAGCCTCATTATAGGGCGTAACTAAGGGGGAATAGATCTTAGCATGATCGCATTCAGGAATTTTCTGAGTAACAGTTATCTCCAAGATTGGTACTCCAATCCGAAAATGATTTTCAGGAGATTGAGCCGACCTCCGATATATTCCCATACCGCCCGAAGAACACATTATGAATTATACAATTGTATCAATTAGAAGATGTTAGCAAAGGACAAATTCTTCGTAAATAAGAAGAGTTTGCTTTATCACCTTAAACGAAATAGGGTGAATACACGTCAATTAAAGGACAAATTCTTTTGAGACTAAAAAACTTGAATATTTAGAGCTCACTAATAACTTATAAATGCTTTCCGTCAGTGTGGGCTGAACAGTGTTGTGAATCATTAATTTCGTCCACCTGTGTCCGCAGATCCTTCAACATTTTATAGCCATCTGCTTAAAAATGATGCAAAGTCTCGTGTATTCATGATAAAATGCTACTACTGACCACTTTGATAAAGTGTAACTCTGTCGTAACGATAGCACCTCTCACTGACGATGCCGACTACGATTCAGGCGAAATGTTTGAGAATGTGCCAAGTCAATGGTTCGCTGCTGGATATCACGAATACTATGGCAGAGAACACAGGACTAGGTAAGTACCACAAGTTCTTCTTGATGTTCTGACGAAACTGCGAAAGCGAGGTCGAATCGGAAAGTCCGAAATTTACCTTCCTTCAATGGGAAGC